GACTTTGACTGGACGACTGCAGCAGCTGATGCTTTAATGGTTCTTCTGGCAGGAACCAACTCCTCTGCATTAATGTGATCAATTCTCAAAGCACCCAGGCTAAGAGCTCACGTGTTGTTCCTGGCAGCTCCTGACATTTTGAAACACACTAATAATATCCGTCTGCACATTTCCACGTATATAGAAGTGGTCAGCTACGCCCTCTCACAGCGCTGCTATTCTTGTGCATGCTCTGTATGGATTGTTGTCATTCTTTCCTCCCTGGCTCACCACTCAACCTTCACCACAGCCCCATCTTAGAACATATTGCTCCTGGTCTCCTACAGCTGGATCACTTTTAAGCTTCTGCTCCATACCTCTCTGATATCTCTCCACACCTGAGCACCACGGGGTTTAGGGCTTTCAGCTAACACAGTGCTGTGCTTTATGGCCATAATCTGTCTGAGGACAACGGGTCTAATGTTGTCATAGAAATGTTCTTATCCTGCACATGTTAGCAAATCAGAGTGAATCTGAATGTTGAGGTGAAACATCTTTACCTCCAGGTAAACCCTCGTGAGGTTGAAAAGCACAATAATGAGGTGTGAAGAAACCTGAATTGGATAAGTGGAAACAGATGGATGACCTATGACCTCTAAAAGATGACCTCAGGGTGAATGGAAACGTAGGTTTCCACGCACTGCTTCTGCATGTTGTTTCAGTGTTTACTGATCTCAGGCTGAATTTAAACAGAAGTTTAGAACTGATAAAAGCTTCTACTGTCTTCTAGCCATGACTGTACACACCGAGTCATTATGACACTTTTATACAGGCTGACTGATCCATATCAAAATGACACTTTAAAGCTGTTGCACTCCCGGGACTACATGCTTCAGCTGTGTGTACGTAGGCCACCTGCTATTGTTATTATTAGAGTTTTTAGATAAGCTATCAGCTGTGGGAAAGTGGGATCAGAGCGTGACACTGACGGTCACTTTCTTCATGTTTTGTGGTCGTGTGACAAAGTTTCCGCCTTTTTTCCAGGACATATAATACCTGTAAGATTCATAGAGAGCCAGACTGTGGCTTTTGTTTTTTAACCCGACTACAGGAAATATAACAAAAACAAACTTTACCTTCTGTGATTTCACCTTCCAGCACCGTCTGGGTCCCAGCTTAACCGAGCAGAGAGAAAACACAAGTTTAATGGTTTAGTCTGAATGCTGTGTCTTTACCCTTTAGACTCCTGTGTGTGGGGGTGTCTCACTGGCAGAGAAGAGGTTGTGGATGGCTCTGGTGGCATTGAGCGAAGGCAGCTCCAGGCACTGAGCCAGGCAGTTCAGAGCGTGGCCCTGGACAGTGGGAGATTCGTCCATCCGTCGAGCAAAGAGCAGGTTCTGGATAAGGGAGCTGTGCATCAGGAAACAAACGAGATCCGGATCTCGACACTCCTCCGGTCTTCTCTCTGGCTGCTCCAGCAAAACCATCACCACATC